AAAAAGAGAGGAAAGAAAAAGCAAGAAAACGGACTGGAGTTTGAAGACAACCAGTGGAGTGTGTTTACTTGTTTGCAGTGAGACCAGGCTAAGTCGTTGAAATCCAAAAGAGGTGCTAGGGGAGCTCGGGGGTGGGGGAGCCTCAGCCCAAGCAACTCCCTGCTTTTCTTTCCGTAATGCTGAGTAGCAGGGTAAGCCTGGAGTTCCCATGACAATTTTTGCTAGAATCGCAGCAGGATTGCATGGCTTCTCACTCACACCTGGTGGTCGGATCTAGTCTAAAAGGCTGAGGCTCCTGGCATCCCCTGCCTGGGTCTCTTGGAGAAGCCCCTCCCTGTCTTCTTGGTTTAAAGACTGGCAGCAATGGCATTCCCAGTGAGTGAGTGGCCCAAAGTTGTCCTGGGGCAGACTGCTACTCCCCTGGCACAGGGCACCTAGCCCCTCAGCCTTATGGAGATAGGAGGGGCTCCGTCACCACCCCCCACATGCCTGAGGGTGTCAGTCTGTCTCTGGGCCTCCTCCTATCAACTCCTCATCAACAGTCTGGGAAAATCCTCAGGGTCAGCAGGGCCAACCTGCTAGAACAATGGCGGGCAAAGAGGGGCAGGAGAAAGTGCTGCCGGTGGGTCAAAAAAAAACAAACAAACAGCTGGCCAGTAGGGGCAGAAAGATCAGGCAATGTGTGTCTGCTTCCCTGAAGACCAGGCAATGTATGTCTGCTTCCCAAGCCCTCGAGGCCAGGTAGCAGCAGCTGCCAAGCCCGATGAGGAAGTGGGAACCCACCGCCCCTCCCTCTCAGCGCCTGTGCCACCCCCCCCCCCACCAAAGGTAAGGGACCCATCCATCTGGCCCTCTCCCCGCGACACCAGGTTGCATTGTAATGCTTCCACATTGTGTGTGTATGTGTGTGTGTTCCACACCGAAAGGGCTAACCACCACCTTTACAGAGGACAAGCTGACTCGGTACAGCACAACTCCTGAGTTCTTAACTGCCCAGCTGACAAGTGAGCGAAAGGCAAACAGAATAGAAAAGGGTCCCAATAAATACCCGCAGGGGGTGAAGAAAGGGAGACCCAGGAGGGCGCCTTCAGGAGGGAACTGAGGGGGATGCAAAAAGCAGCCCCCAGGAAGCCGAGTTCCTTTTTTCTAGTCCAGTTTTGGGCCTAGTAAAGTTCTCCGCCAAGAAGGGTGTGACAGGCAGGGGACTCTGCAGTGGACTGGCCACCCAGGGCCACTGGAGATGGCGAAAGAGCAGGGCCCGGGTGAGAAGCGGTCACTCCTGGGCTCAGAGGTGAAAGGACACGGAAAGGGCTAAGGCTTGGGTGGCCAAAGGCAGCTGCAATTGCTTTGCTAGGAGAAGGGAGAGAGTGTGGGGTCCTGAGGCTGGAAGTAGCCTGCACAATTCCTGGGCTGGGAGGCGCCACCGTCAGCCAATAAGCAGGGGATGGAGAGAGGCCCGAGTGGGGGAATGAAACAGGACGAGAAGCAGGCCTGAAACTGTGCTGGAGATGGCAGGCCATGTGAGGGAGGGGCGAGGAAGAGGGGCAAGGAGGGACTGGGGGAAGCTAGAAGCCCGCGGGAAGCCCCAGGAGAAGGGGGCAGGGGCAGGGAGACACCAGGATTTGGATGACCACAGCCGGCCGAGCTTGCTGCAGCAGGAGCAGCAGGGAGGGGACTGAGCAACAGGTTGTGTTGACGCGGTGATTCGGTGGGGCCGAAAAGCCAAGTGGGAAGGGCCCCCGACCCGACCGGGCCTGCAGAAAACGCTCCCGGGCCCGGAAAAGCCCGAGCCCAGGGAGGAGAACCCGCGGGATCCACACACTCACCGGGGACCGAGGACTGGAACACCGCCCGCCCCCCCCCCTCCCGCGCCCGAAAAGACAACCTGTGGGGCAACTGCGCATGACAGCTGGATGGGAAACACGGAAGCAACACATGCCAGCGCCAGGAAGCGGGGCGCTCCGGGAGAAAAGGGAAAGTGATGAGCAAAGAGTGGGCGACCGATGGGGAAAGGTGATGAGGGTGGAGCTGGTGGGCTGCAATCGAGAGGGGGGCAGCCAGGGCGGCAGCAGCTGGGGAAGCGCGAGGGCACGGGGCGCGGGCTGGGGGCCCCCCCAGCCCGAGGGGACAGCCGGCACGGAGGGGGACGGCAGGCCGGAGGAAGTGGTGGACGACAAACCGTGACAAGCCGCGGGGTGCTCATCGACGAGCGGGAGGGTGGCTGCTTGCGGCGTGGGTGGAGGAAGACCAGAGAGGGCCCGGCGAGGAAAAGGGAGGAGAAGGGGAAGCCGGGGAGGTGACACGGAGCAGCGCAGGCGGGCGGGGAGCGCGAGGGGGGCTGGCAGTGAGGCAAGTGTGCAGCCGGAGTCGGGACGCGGTGGGTCCCGGGACAGGGCTCGGGGCCGGGGGCCCGATGACAGGGCGGCCGAGCTGGCGGGATGGCAGCAGGGGCACGAGGCAAGCAGAGGCGGGAGGAGGCTCCGCCAGGTGCAGGGGCCCGGCCAGAGAAGCCGGGGAGCCCTCGGGGCTCCTTACCTGCTCCGTGTCCCTCTCGTTCAGCGTGGGCAGGGGGGTCCGGGCGCTGGACATGGCGCCGGTATCTCAGGGGAGGGAACCCAGAAGCTCGGAGGAAGGGAGGGAAGGGAAGGCGCGGAGCCCGGCCGGGCGGGGCTTCTCACAGCAGGGGCACCCGCCGCATGGGCCCCGGCCGGGGGTGCGGGGAGGCCGGGCAGCCGCTCACGCCAGCCCGGGGATGCGCCGCTCGGGCTAGGCCGCGCCGGCTCCGAGCGGCTCCGGACCGCACCCCCCCGACCCCCGGCTGGGCTGTGCCGCCTCTCGGCCGGGCCGCGCCGCTCCGCCTACTCTCTGCCGCCGCAGCCGGCCGCCTGCCTCGCTCCTCCCCTGCCCTCAGCGGCACTGCTCCGCGCCCGGCACACAGGCAGCCGCCGCCGGACCTGCTGCTCCCAACATGGCCGCCACCACCGCCGGCCCTCGGCTCTTTCCGCCGGCAACAGCCGGAAACATCCGAAGCGGCCTGGAACGGGAGGGGGGCGGGCCTCCTCCGTCCGGACCGCACACTACGGGTGAGTTCCGGAAACACCCGAAGAAGGTAACCCCGCGGGGCACGCGCGACTCCACGAGTCCGACACCCAAGTTTCGGCTCTGTTTACGGAAATCCACGAAGAGACTCGGAGCGCTCCAGAGTTGTCCAACCACGCCCACAGACTTTTCTCCGCCCCCTTCAACCTGGCGCTCGGTAGTTTCCGGAAACACCCGAAGGGGCTCCGCGTGCTGCGAGCTGGTCACGCCCCCGTCCCGCCCCTCCGCCGAGGGCTGTCGTCGGCCATTTCCGGCAACACCCGAGGCCCGGCGGCGGCCTGGGGTGGTACTCAAGTCTGACTCTTTCGTTTCTTTCCGTCCGTTTTCGGGTATTTTCGAAGCTAGAACGAGGAGCGTAAGCACCAGTGCGCGCTTTATTAGTTGACTAAATAGAAAATAAGGCTGTTAACCATTTTTGCGATTGGCCCGTCTGCATGTCCGTGCGTCTCAGTCAGTCATACAATCCATCTTCGGATGGCTCATCCAACCTGCCAATGTGTGAGTTACATGCCAGACCCAGTGATCGTCTCCTACCTGCCTGTCTGCCCTCCGTGACCTCCCATCATGCCATGGCTTTAAGCGTATTGTCCATCACACATCTAGCCTTCAGGGATCCTCTGGTCCCCAGGTCCGCATCCTTCACAGCCAGCTGCGGGAGGACCCAGAGGTCTCTCCGCCGAATCCTAGGGACCCACCCCCCCGCCCCTGTCGCTGTCCCAGCTCTGCCGAGTGAAACTGCTATGTGATGTTGGACAGATCACAGAACAGCCCTGAACCAGAGTCCCACATCCCTAAACTGAGAAGATCCCATCCATGCTTTTGTTTCAACATTGACATGCTCGGTAAGGTCCTTGCATTCCATTTACCCGTTTAAAGTGCCGCAGCAAAGACAGCCAGCAGAGACAGTCTCACTCACACCAGCGTCCCTCCTCCGGCAGAGAAACTGTGGAAAATTGAAACTGGTTCAAAATGACGATGATTCAACGTTGTCCCTGTCTGTAAAGTCAGGGCATTGTATTCCTGAGCTCTGAAGTGCCTCCCAGCTTCTATACCAGAAAACCCCTATGGACCCCTTGACCCGCCCTGCCTCCCCCTGGACTATTTCACTAGAGAGAGACAGTGAGAGGCTCGGTCTGCTTTCTCTGGCTACAAGCTGTCCCACCCATCATATCCAAGATGCTTTCCTCCTCCACCACCACCACCACCGGAACTCAAGAGCAGCCTACAGTGGGCAGGAACCTGACACCAGGCTCAAGCAACAAGTACCCCAAGGTACAGGAGCAGAGGAAGCCCCAGCTGGTTGGATCCCTGACGTTGGACTTACAGCACCCAGGTGAAGTTGGTTGGACCTCTGACGTTGGCGTGTCATGCCCAGGTGGAGGGTCTTGAAGAGAGCCCTTAGCCATATCAATCAGAGCAACAGCCAAACAGATGCAATGTGGGGAGTACTTCTTAAAGCAACAGGCACAAGCCAGAGGCTTAACAAACACTCGGGCAGCTTGGACACCTCTCCATGGCCCACCCTGCCTCCATCCAGGCACCCATCCAACCACTGAGGAAGTTGGCACTGAAGGAGGCAGGCAGGGCAAAGAGGGGAAGAGAGGAGGACAGGGTGCATCCCACCCCCCCTACCCCAAATTCCTTGGAAAATCTGTGAGAATGATCCGCCCCCTGGTGGCAAGAGGGCGATACACGCCGTTTCCAATGCCGGAGAACACCTCTATGGCCTGGGGCAGAAAAGAGGAGAGCTTGGAGGAGCAAAGGAAGTGGGGACCCAACTCTACCCACTCCACGCTTCTATTTAGATAAGCTGCAACCCCTGCCTCCCCTTTGCCCTCTGACTGCCAGCCCTCCCCCACCCCGCCACCTGCCCCTCTTGGGCTCAGCTCAGAACCTCCTGCCCAGCCGTCAGCTGCGCCAGAATAGTCATCCCCCAGTCCCACCTCAAGCCGCATCTCTACACTCCTAGACCACCAAGAGGTCCCGTGTGTTCTAGGGGCTGGGCTGCCTTCATGGCTGTGTGCGCGTGATCCGTACAGGCTTTTCAAAGACCCTGTACTTAGCTTCAGGAGCGCTGGTGGTGTAGTGGCTACACATTGGGCTGCTGACCACAAGGTCAGCAGTTCAAAACCACCAGCTGCTTCCCAAGCAAAAGATGAGGCTTTCTACTCCCATAAGGATTTACTGTCTTGAAGATGTTTTGAAAATGATGGTGGTAACAAATGTACAAGTGTGCTTGACATGATGGATGGATTGTGATAAGAGTAGTATGAGCCCCCAATAAAATGATTAAAAGAAGACGAAAAGACAAGATTTACTGTCTGGCAAACCCACAGAGGGGGTTCTACCCTGCCCTATAAGGTTGCTAGAGGTTAGAATCGGCTTGAGTGAATTTGTTTTGAGGCACAGAGATACTTAGCTTTGCTGTCATCTTAAGGCAAGCTGGTGGTGCTGTTAGGTAAGCGTCCAACTCCTAGCTGCGAGGTCTGCCGGTCTGGAGAGAGCTGAGGTGATCGGCTCCCATCAAGATCAATTACGGCTATAAGTTAGCCCCACTCTGATTTGCAAGTTGAGCCAGACACCCTACGTGGGGTCACAGCGAGTCAGAATTGACCGGATGGCCATGGGTCTGGGCCACCATCATCTTGACCTTTGAAACTGGCCCCCACAGATAATGTTGCCAGTCCCAGCTTCAGTAGAACACCGGCAGGCTGCATTCAAAGCTTCCCACCACCTGACCTCCTCTTACCTAGCTGAGCAGCCCTCCAGCCAGGAATGACTGATGGATCCCTCCCTTCCTGCTGCCCTGTCACCAAGCCTGCCTCTATGCAGCCTGACTTCTCCACCTGGACTGCCTGTCACCAATCCCAGCTCCCAGGTGCACTTACAGGTCCAGGTTAAACGACACCTTTTCAGATTCCTGAAACCCGTCGATCTCTGCTCAAAGATGAATTATGGCCACACGTGTACCAACTCGGTATTGCAGAGTGATTCACTCATTGAATAAATCTCTTCTGAGC